TCATTAGTATTCTTTATGTATAAAGACACATGGCATTATATAACAACTCCTTGAACACTAATGAAGAGGACTTTATTGAGTACAAAGGTCCAAGCATGTAATGTATGTGGTCACTAAAACACTATGTGTGTCACTATGACGTCACAGCTTGTTTATAAGGGAGACAGAATGGTAAACAACAATAAGAGTTTGCAATGCTTTTATTCTTCAGCTGAATTGATAACTCTGATATGTATGGTTTCAAACATTTTATAATCCAGTGTTTATCTAACAATATATACAGTATTTGGTGGCAATTATTGCTTTTCTAAGTTCTAAAAAAATACAATTTTTCAGTTTTCTTGAGTTGTTGGTGTTTTGTCTCCCTTCCATTCTTAGTGTTAAAACTAAAGATTGTTTTCATGTGACGTCATAATGAAATAGAGCATACTACTCTTCCCAGTAGAACATTACACCCCACGTTTTTTCAACCCATCCAGAGGAGCTTTTAAACCTGCCCGGGGCTGAGAAAAATTGATCGCGTGACTGGAAAGAATAGTATTCAACCAAAAGTTTATGAATCATTCATAAGTTTGTTCAAGGTTATAAAATAAATAGTTCACGTTTAGCATGCATCCACCAAGTTATGGATATAAGTTTGAATCATTTCTTCAACACAATACTTTGATTAGAAACTGTCGTTTATTGTAATGGAAGTGTTCTATGTTTAAACTTACTTGTTTGTCATGTGTGCTGACTGTCCAGGCCTTGACAACATCATCGCCATGACAACATGATGCTTGGCTGAAGATGCTGACAACCTGTTGAAATGAAGCCAAAGATATTGATTTTAGTTAAAATGCCATTCCCTAGAGTATCATTTCTTTGTTTAATGGGTGCTCACAAGAAGACACGGGAATTAGAATACAACCCAAACAAAGAATCTTATTGTCAAGAGAAGGATATGTGGTCTGGAAAAAGAAAACATGAAGCCAAATAAGGTGGATAGGTCTATTATGAACAATTTTTTTTAAATTTTCTCTTAAAAAAGTACTTTTTCAGTAAATCAATTCTGCCGTGCTGTACTTACAATAGAAAAACTAATATGAAATGGATGCATTTCTATATTCTATAACAGCTAATAGTTAAACTTACTTGTCTGTCATACATCTGCTGGCAATAGCTTGATGCAATGTAGTGTCATCACAATCTAATGATGACACATACCAATACTTGTCATCAAGCTGTTGAAAAAGTGAAAGAGATCTGTTTAGAAACCTGAATCTATCTGTTTAGTATAATTGTATTGCTAGTAGTTACTAGTTGTGACTTCATTCTAGAAATGTTCTATTCTGGATAATCCATGTCTATCCTTTAGCTGTCAGTGTACTGGTCAGCAGTAGACCATGTTGTACAGTGGGAACCCTGTGGTTGTCTGACATCTACCATGTTGGTTTTGAGATACAGAAGCCCATAGAG